ACTCTCTCACTCCTTCCCCCTCAGGAATGGGAAGGAGAAAATACAACAAAAGGCTCACAAATAGAGATAAGGACAAAAAGGCATGATTCAACCATTACTGTCAAGGGTAACAGACAGAAAGGGGAAGAAAAAAGAACATCAGTTTAATTCAAATACTAAGAATCGTAACATTTATCATCAGACAGAGTAGGACAGTGAGAAGCATTACATCTTAAAAACACCTTCCCCCAACCCCTCCCTTCTTGCTCTCAGCTTTGCTCCCAATTTCTTTCCACCAGTGGTGCAGGGAGACAAGGCATGGGGGCATTCAGTCAGTCCCACCACTTCTTCCTCAGGGGAGGATTCCTCACACTCTTCCCCTGCTTCAGCATGGGGTCCCTCTCATGGGAGACAGTCCTCCATGAACTTTCTCCAACATGAGTCCTTCTCATGGACCACAGCCCTTCCCAAGCTGCTGCAGCATGGATTCCTCCTGTGTGTTGCAGTCATCCCAGTACTGAACTACAACAGTGGGGGCTTCTTCCCAGAGTCCCAGCCTTCCTTGGATGCAGCCTCCTGCTCTGGTGTGGGGTCCTCCAGGGGCTGCAGGGTGACATCTGCTCCCCTGGTGACCTCCATGGGTGGCAGGGGGACAGCCTGCCCTCTCACCATGGGCTAAGGGGGGTCTCTGATTGGGCATGCTGCCCCCTCCCTTTCTCCCATTGACCTCAGTGTTCCCATCAGTGTTCCTCTCACAACTCCACCTTACAACTCCAATTCCTCCTCCCAGATTCCCCTTCTTAAATACATTATGTCAGGGGTGCAGCCACTGTCACTAACTGGCTCAGCCTTGGCCAGAGGCAGGTCTGATTTGGAGCCAGGGGAGCATGTCGGGAAGCTACTCACAGGGGACCACTAATGTAGCCCCCTCCCCCACTACCAAAAACCCCCACCACTCACTCAAACCCAGCACACTGGCAAAGAAAACAAAACATTTTGGAAGAGTTCCTGAAGAGTTATTTAATATTAACTTTATTATTTGAGTGGAAGAAGGCAAGTGATATTTTTTTCTGATATAGAGGACTTTAATGAGGACCGTACCCTTTTTCAGACAGAGATCAGGTTGGAAGACAGGTGGTTTTTTTGTCATAGGTGCCAAAACCTTAATTTTACATGAGATTTTTGCTCGTCTCTTGTCATCCTTACAGACGGTAAAGTGTGTAGTCTGAAGTTCTGTTTTACTGCATATGTTGTTAATCACATTAAAATTTTGAATCTATTCATATAAACCCGTTTTGATAGGGTTTATAATGAAATAACAGGCTGCAGTATTCAATACACTGAAGTTTTTAGGGTGCTCAATTTAGAATGTCCAGATTTTGTCTTCTAAAAACTGTATGGGATTTATTTTCTCTCTATGTGGAGCTAGATCTGACAAATCTGCCAGACCTCAGATGTTACTAATGCTGTTCATCCCAGCACTGTAAATCTTTCTGTAGACTATCATCTTGTTTCTAAACACAGTCTGTAATACTGATACTGTTAATGGTCCAAATAATTGCCCCGAAATTGAAATATCTCAGAAGTCCATATACTTTTTTTAAATGTCAACTTTCTAAGAGTGTCTGCATATAATGTTGACTATATAAACATTTCTAAACTGGAATGTTTATGAATTTTAAAAAGAAAATTTATGCAGTGATTGAACCTCAGTTTATTTTAGTGAGTCAGACTTTTATGCTTCAGGGAGAAAATGGCAGCTTCTAACCCTAGGGGAAAGAATCCTTGGCAGAGTTTTTTTTGTTTCTTTCCTTTCAATTTCAAAGTAGGGCAAACCCTGATCCTGCTGACTGTATTTCTTTTCCACATGGATGTGCATATCTTTGTCATGTGACTGTATGAACAAAACTACTCTTTGTCAATAAAATACCTGCTTAAACTCTATAACTAACTTAAACTCTATAACTAACCTTATGTCTACTTTTTCTGTAAGATTATTTTAATGCAGTTGGTATTTTCTATGAAGTCTGTGGATTTAAAACATTGCATTGAGTTTAAATTAAAGGAGAACAGTCTTATTTAACCACACATTTGACTTAGTCTGTGAGATGAAATAGTAGTAGAAACATGCATTTTCTCTACCTGTTGCATAGGTTTATGGTATGCACATGTGGCTACAGATTTTCCTTGTCCTTTTTGCTCATTATTCTTTGTTAGCTTGTGCATTTTCTTGTATTCAACAGCCCAAAACCATTGGCAAGTTGAGGTTAAAAAGCGTTTGTTAGGCTAAAGGAAATCACTTACTGTGATTCACAATAGCTAATTGCTGTTGATATTATCATGATTAGAAGAAAGATGCCACTGGTTTTGCCTAGCTGGTTTTTGAGAGTTCTGGCTCCTGGCAGGCTTTGGTTTAGATATCTCAGAAATGGAAATGAGGTTGTGGGGAGAAAATTTGTTACATGCCCTGTGTGGAATCTTGCTTCAGAAAATGTTTGAATACATAAATAACTTTTAAAGACCTTCTGTTGTTACATGAACCTATGGTCAAGAAAGAACAACTTTATTGCCTTCTTCCTCTACCTTTGGATCCTAGCAGCAGTGTTGAAAAGCAACGCTCAACTTACGGGCCAATAAAAGTCATCTTTATTACCTAGACATGTCCTTTAATATTCTACCGCATGACCTTTTGATCAAAGTTGTCTGGAACAAGATTCTTTTGGAGTGGTGTTTAAATAAAAGTTTAAAAAAAATTGAATTCCTGTCTTGAAGAAACCGTATGCAGTAAGTATTATCTTGACATGGAGAGGTAAAATGTGCACTATACGTATCTACATCCTAGATGTCCCAATTTTGCACTTCCCATTTAATGTGCACAAGACGTGATGGGTCAGTCTCTTCCTGTCCCCAATATCAGAGAGTGTTTTGGTCCTGTGAAGAGGCAAGGGTGACCATACAGAGCACCCACAAAACCAAATGTTATTTTGTGCATGGGAACCTGTGGAAAGAGATGTTTCCTTTCAGCTGCACAGCTCTGCAACTGCTCTCCAGCTTTGCAGGGTTTGTCAGACAGCAGGTAAGCTGTCTCTGGCATTTAGGGTTTTAAAACAATAAATAAATGAATAGCTGTGCTAGGAAGCAGTAAAATCCAGTTACAGCAGTGCTGGAGCTGAAGACAGGAGCTAGCTGTTTCTCTCAGATGTGAGGCATAATCTTTACCTGTCTGGTAACTGCTCTATGATGGCTCATTTCTCTGTGGTCTCTGGAAATGATCTGTTTGTACTTAAGAGTCTTTAAAATCAAGAAAGAGAGCTAGACCCTTGTTATAGCAAAAACGCTGCTTGCTCACCAGCCATACAGTTTACTTCAGATACATCAGAAGCTTGAAGTTAGAAGTTGAAGTTAGAGGTATAATGCTTTCACTTTTTACAGTGTATATTTGTTGCGGGTTAACGCTGAACTCCCACCCAGATGTTTGGTCACTCACTCTGGCTCCTCAGCAGGTCTTGGGGAGAAGATAGGATCAGAAAGCTCCTGGGTCAAGACAGACAGGGAGATTGCTTACCAGTTAATGTTGCAGGGAAACCAGATTTGATTTGGGGAAAGTTAATTTAGTTTAATTTTTACTATAATCTGTTTTAATTTGCAAATGAGAAACAAGAAAACAAAAAAGAAAACACCACCACCCCCCAACACCACCTTCCCATGCTCAACTTCACTATTCATTCAGGACATGTCTATCTCTTCCACCTCACTGAGCAGTGCACAAGGATGGAGAATGGTGTTTGCAGTCAATCTATAACAGTTCCTCTCTGCCACTCCTCCCTTCTCACATTTTCCCCCACTCCAGCATGGGGCCTCTCTGTGAGCTGTAGTCCTTCAAGAACTGCTCCAGTATGGACTCTCTGTGGGCTTAAATACCTTTTCCTGCACTTGGAGCATCTCTTACTCTCCTCCTTTGACCTTGGTGTCCACACTCAGTTTCTCAGAGGTTTGGTTTTTTTCCTCACATCTGCTGCCTGTGCAGTGTTTTTCCCTTTCTAGAGCCTGTTTTCTGTGAAGCACCACCATCTTGCCTCACAGGCTCAGACGTGGCCTGCAGTGGGTCCATTGCAGCCAGCTGGATTCAGCTGTGTACAGCATGGGCAAGTCCCTGGCCTCTCCTCACAGAAGCTACCCCTGCCACCCAAACCTTGCCATCTTGTCATGGTTCAGCTAGGATAGGGTTAAGTTTCCCGTATTGGGGGAAAGGATCTCCAGGCGGGTTATTCATACCATGATGAGGTCAGGTCCGGGTGTAGCAGCGCGGGAAGCTTTTCTTTTGTGGCTTTGGTTGCGGGAAGCATGTGGCGGGCTGGCTGTATCTTTGTGGTATTTCTCTGCATATCTTTTATCTTGTTTACCTTTTATTACTGTTTGTTATTATCACTATTGTTGTTGTTCAGATTGTTTATCACACTGTTGTATAAAATTTCTTCTCATTTTAACCCGGGGTTTGTGCCCTACTTGTGTTCGAGGGTGGGGGAGGAACAACGGCAATGTGGTTTCTGTTTCCGGCAGCGCTTAAAACTATCACACACCTATACCTATCAGAGCCTTCCTTCACTTCACTTTAGTTGAAAGCGAAAACTGCTTCACATACATATTTATGGTATATCAGCAACCTGCAGAACCTTTTACTGCAGATGGGATGATCTTTCAAGTGTATTAGACATTACTTTGGACAGGATAAAGACTGCTAAGGACTCCAGTGCCATGGCATGTAAGCAGCTATAATAGGACAAGTTATGCCATTTTCTGAGTGTCTTGCATTGTATTTTGCATGGAAATTAAAATGCTTTCTGCTCATTAAATAGAGGATGGCAGTGTGGTTTCATTAAACCATCCCTTGTTGAGAAGACACTTGGATACTGTTTGTTGGAGAAGTTTTATTCTTCTACAGTGTGATTTGTTAGTTCTTAGCAGGTAAGATTGTCTCTGTTGGTAATGTTTGGCTGACATGCTTTCCCCTCTTATAACAGATCATGGTAATGTCAGATGGCACATCGTTCTCTTCAGGACAGAGCCTTTATCTCCCCAACCTTTCCAGTAACTCCCTGTCTTTTTCTGAAGCGAAGAAGAAGTCATCTCATGGGCCAAAGGTGAGACTTACTTTGCTAGAATATACTTGAGCCGGTGGTGCTTTCCCTGGGAATTAACTTGAGAAAAAAAGTATTTCTAAGTATTTTTGCAATCTCATGGCACAGTCTAGTAACAATAGGTCTCAACATTTCTCTGTTGTGAACTTACTGTTCACCACATGAAAATAATAAAAAAACAAGGATGGTTGTGAGAACAGGTGCCAGTAAAGGTACTGCACAATTGTTTTCCTCCTTTCCGAGAAGGAATTCTAGTGGTCTGTTGTAGTATTAGGGGTGCTGATGATGGAAGTGTGATTTACAGAAATGTTAAGAATATGAGAAAATACTATAATAATTGTTTCATTTATTAATTATTTTAGAATACTTTTAAAGATAATTGTGTAAAGTGGAAGTAAGTTGTATTCTTTAGGATCTTTATTTTTGTTTAAATTTCAGGGGTTAATTCTTACTTGGTGTTTCAAAAACATCAATGTATTATTAGTCTGTAGGACATCAAACTGTATCTCTAACATAGAACATGGTAAAAAGGTATAGTCCAGTGAACCTTCTGAGTAAAAAAATGGACCTTTCCAAAACAGCAGAAAATTACTTCAGTTTCACAAAATGAATTAGTGGTGTGGGAGAAAAAAGAGCATCTTGCATTTATTCAAATAAATGCAACACAATGACTTGCTTTGCAAATGAATGAACATACCTGCCTTTTACCCAGTCTGTTAAATTGTTTGAGGTTTGATTTTCTTTCTTAGCAGCTTGTGAATTTGAAATATGTTACATAGTCTTGTATGCACATACTGCAAGGGGCAATACCCAACTATATCAATGACTTCCATGTTCTGTGGCAGTGACAAATCTTGTAAGAACTGTCAGGTAATGAATTACAGGTATGCCTAAGTGTGTCCATTGATAAGAACGTATCACAGCAGTAAGGAGAGAGAAAAGTAAGGAGAAAGGGGGAAAGAAAAAAGAGTTCTTTGACATGCTTCTGCCTGGTTTGCATTGTTGCTTCACAATCTATAATGCAAATCTTCTTGTGACATTTAAAGGATATATGGGTGAATGATTATTTTTATGTTCCTAAAGAGAAGCTGAAGTAGATTGACTCTGATGAAGATTAGACAGAAGGTGCTTACTTTGGCATACTAAAATGATTGTTTAATGCCTAAAAGGAAGGTACCTGGCTACACCAAGTGCTACAGTAAGGTGCTGAAGGTAACTGTCTGCTTAAACTAAGATATATCTCCATCTGCTTGGATTCCGAAGATGAGTTACAGAATCACAGAATCATCAAGGTTGGAAAAGACCTTGCAGATCATCCAGTCCAACCATTCACCTAGCCCTGACAGTTCCCAACTACACCACATCCCTCATCGTCATGTCAACCTGACTCTTAAACATCTCCAGGGATGGAGACTCCACCACCTCCATGGGCAGCCCATTCCAATGTCTAATAAACCCTTCTGTAAAGAAACGCTTCCTAATATCCAGTCTAAACCTTCCCTGGTGCAACTTGAGGCCATTCCCTCTTGTCCTATCGCTTCCTCTTGGTTAAAGAGACTCATCCCCAGCTCTCGGCAACCTCCTTTCAGGTAGCTGTAGAGGGTGATAAGGTCTCCCCTCAGCCTCCTCTTCTCCAGACTGAACAACCCCAGTTCCCTCAGCCACTCCCCGTATGACCTGTGCTCCAGACCCTGCACCAGCTTCATTGCCCTTCTCCTGCATGCACTCGAGTCATTCAGTGTCCTTTTTGGAGTGAGGGGCCCAAAACTGAACACAGGAATCGAGGTGCGACCTCACCAGTTCCAGTAGAGGGGTAAGATCCCTTCCCTGTCCCTGCTGGCCACGCTATTGCTGACACAAGCCAGGATGCCATTGGCCTTCTCGGCCCCGTGGGCACACTGCTGGCTCCTGTTCAGCTGGCTGTCAATCAACACTCCTGGTCCCTCTCTGACTGGCAGCTCTCCAGCCACTCCTCCCCAAGCCTGTGGCGCTGCTGGGGGTTGTTGTGGCCCAAGGGCAGCCCCCAGCATTTGGCCTTATGGAAACTGCCCCAGTCGGCCTCAGCCCATGGCTCCAGCCTGTCCAGGTCTCTCTGCAGAGCCTCCCTATCCTTGAGCAGATCAACACTCCCACCCAACTTGGGGTCATCTGCAAACTCACTGAGGGTGCACTTGATCCCCTCGTCTAGATCATCAATAAAAATGTTAAACAGGAGTGGCCCCAACACCGAGCCCTGGGGGACACCACTCATGACCGGCCACCAACCAGATTTAACTCCGTTCACCACAACTCTTTGGGCCCGGCCATCCAGACAGTTTTTTCCCCAGCAAAGCGTGTGATTGTCCAAGCCTTGAAGAGCCATTTTTGCCAGGAGAATGCTGTGGGAAACGGTGTCAAAGGCCTTACTGAAGTCAAGGCAGACAACATTCACAACCTCATGCAATAAGCAGGTCGCCCTGTCGCAGAAGGAGATGAGGTTTGCCAAGCAGGTCCTGCCTTTCATAAACCCATGCTGACTGGGCCTGAGCATCTGGTTGTCCCACATGTGATGGTACTCAGGATGAGCTGCTCCATCAACTCCCCAGCACTGAAGTCAAGCTGACAGACCTGTAATTTCCTGGATCATCCTTCTGACCCTTCTTATAGATGGACATCACACTGGCCAATTTCCAATCAGTTGGGACCTCCCCAGTCAGCCAGGACTGCTGGTAAATGATGGAAAGCAGCTTGGTGAGCACCCCAGCCAGCTCCTTCAGCACCCTTGGGTGTATCCCGTCTGGGCCCATAGACTGGTGTGTGTCTGTGTGATGCAGCAGGTCACTGACTGTCTCCTCCTGGATTGGGGGGGGGGTTCGTTCTCCCAGTCTCTGTCTTCTGGCTGAGGAGGCTGGATTCCCTCAGTACAACTAGTCTTGTTATTAAAGACTGAGGTGAAGAAGGCATTAAGCACCTCAGCCTTTTCCTCATCCCTTGTTACCATGTTTCCTCCTGTGTCTAGCAGGGGATGGAGACTCTCCCTGAACTTTCTTTTCCCGTTGACATTCTTATAGAAACATTTCTTGTTATCCTTGACTGCTGAAGCCAGATTAATTTCCAGCTGGGCTTTGGACCTCCTGATTTCTGCCCTGCACAGCCTCACAGCCTCTTTGTAATTGTTGTAGTCACTAGCCCCTTTTTCCAAATGCTGCAAACTCTCCTTTTCTCCCTGAGTTGCAGCCAAATCTCCCCGGGGTGCTTTTCTCTGCCACTGGCTTATCTTACAGCACCTGGGAACAGCCTGCTCCTGTGCCATTAAGTCTTTCTTCTTAAAGAGCACCCAGCCTTCCTGGACCCCTATACCCTTCGGGACCTTCTCCCAAGGGATTCTGTCAAGCAGGTCCCTAAACAAGACTAAGTCAGCCCTTTTGAAGTCCAGGATGGCAGTTCTGGTCCCTCTCTCCTGTCCTCTCTAGAGAACTCTATTATTTCATGGTTGCTGTGCCCTAGTCAGCCTCCAGCCGCCACATCATCCACCAGCCCTTCTCTTTTCACAAAGAGGAGATCCAGCAGGGCACCTTCTCTGGTCGGTTCAGTCACCAGCTGTGTCAGGAAGTTCTCCCACCCATTCCAGGAATCTCCAGGACTGGTCCCACTCTGCTATGTTGTATTTGCAGCAGATGTCTGGGAAGTTAAAGTCTCCCACGAGAACAAGGGCAAGTGATTGTGAGATTTCTCCTAAGTGCCTGTACAATATTTCATCCACCTCTCTATCCTGTCTGGGTGGCCTGTAGTAGACTCCCACTACAACATCTGCCCTGTTGATCTTCCCCTGCTTCTAAACAAAGACACTCCACCCTGTCTTCCCTATACTTGTTACTTTGACATTTTGCCATCTATAACAGGGATTCTTGTGAGGGTGGGTAGCTTTCTAGATTTCAGTTTCCAATCACTTCTTCAGGTTTGTCTGTAATCTTGATTCACCCATGTCTTGCATTGTATGCCAAAGCAGGCATAATGTGGCTCGGTCTATATAAGCAAGCCAAACACCTGCTGAAGGACTTCAAGGAGATAGAGACAGGATTCCATGTCCTACATAATGCTCCATCTACCATTGACCATGGTATGTCTTGAATCTCCAGTGTAAATTTTTTCATGAGCAAATGCTAACTTGGTATGTAATTTTCTGAACTGTGTTCAAAAAATTTACTTTTGTCTGGTATAGAATCCTAACAAGTGTGAACTGTGGTTGGGGTGAAGCAAGGTGAAAGGAGTGTTGCTGCACACATCCTTATCAATGAACGTTTGAAATCTTTCATTTTTGCTGAAGCAACCCTACCACCTGCAGTGAGTTTAACCCATACCAGGAAGTTAGAGGGAGTCAGTAGGGGCTTAGGTGTGAATCACATCTCAATATTTTATTCAATATCTGTAAAATTTTTACCTAGGGAGGTTTTTTTTAACTATTTGGTTTCAAAATAGGGATGTTTAGCAGAAATGGTCTCTGTTTGAAATGATTCTTTTTTCAAACATTATGCGTTTGCCAGAGTTTTTAATAGTGGGAAGAGATGTTACATCAATATACTGTTTCCTGCCAGTTAGTGTGAGTATTCAAGTTTTCCCCTCCTCCCCAACAATCTCTGTCTCCTCCTGTCCAAATTAAAACACACACTAATGAGCAACTATTTTTGTATCTCATAAAGAAAGAGTTATAAATACCTGCCTTACCAAGAATCATCAGCTGGTTTTGAGAAATGGAAACATGAAGTAACCTTGGGTTTAGTACAACAAAAAAGTTTGGGGTTTTTTATTGTAAATCCTGGGAGCTGAGAACTCTTGGATTTTTGTAGTTAGTATTTTTATTTTATTTGGGTAGCAGGAGACTTCTAGAAGAGTTCTAACCTTCTAGTTAGAGGAGAATTGCAGTAAAAACAGTAAAACCGGTGCAACGAGGTCATATTGTTGGTTTAGCATTCACGTATTAAAAATTACAATGCCATATGAAGAGAGAACTGTCAAGTTTGCTT